TGTTGATGGGTGGCCTGAGGGACTGGTTGTGATAACTGTGTCATAAAATCTACCAAAGACCAGGCCAAAACCTAGATCGTTCACAATTTCAAGTATTAGCAAATGGTTTGCATACGTTTTCCCCATTTTCAAAAGACGTGTCTGACTCCTAGAGGGTTGTATATATCGGCAAACTCTGAATTCTAATCAGTTTCGTGATCTCTCTTTGAACTATTTCGACGTATTTCGGATTTTTTAGTAAATTGCATGAATCAGTATAATTCAGTTTATCTAAGGGAGATAGCTAACACCTTCGAAAGCCTTATTTACATACATACGCAGAGAAAAACATGCATATGTTTGCATAAATGTGGGGATACATTATATTAGTAATTGCCAAGAAAATAGATTATCATCAAATAATGTGTTCAGCCGAATTGGATAGTTCGTTCCATCCTTCAATCACACGGTGGGAGAAAAAGTTGGCCCGAAATTTAGGTTTTACGTATTTTGTCTTCAACTTATGTCGGTGGTCCTGGAGATTTGTCTTTTGTGTATACGTTTTCCAGTTTCTAGTCAGTAGGCAGAGCTTCCTATTTCATCAAATTTTTGAAGATTTTGGAACGTTAATAGTTCAGGTAGTCAAAGAGTTCATTCAGAAGTTTTTGGAGGTGCCATTTGGATCGGCCAATTAAGTGCACTGTAATTCAATCAGTATCAGTCAATACATTCGGAGTAAACGACAGAACCCCTGAAAACGCCATTTAAACGGTGCAGGTGTGAAGGAAAATAGATAAATTGCAAAATATTTTGCATGCAGTTTAGTGTGTGGAGTGCATAAATCTAATAGCGGAACATAAATACGAAAAAGGTGTGGCATTTGTGAAATAACTGCAAAAAGATTGTTCACAGCATTCGCATTGTGTAAATTTCCATATGAATCAAGTTTAATGCACACAACAGGATCCGTTGAATCCATGTTTGTTGTTTGTTGATAGTCTTTTCAGTAATCCGTTAGATCGGGTTTCGGCAGTTAGGGTTGTCTTTTATCAGGTGATTATCCATCTGTCTCTTGAACGCACTCACGGTAGGGGAATTAACGACATACGTTCGCAAATAATTCCATTGGCGAATGACCCTCTGTGAGAAAAAGGAGGAACGCTGATTTGTGTGACACAGTGCCTTTTTTAGGCTGGTAATCGTGTCGTCTCAGATTAGAATTTTGTGCCATTTCAAAAAGGGATTACCAGTCGACATCCCGATCTAGTCCTCTTGGCAACAGAGACGTTGCTATGAGGCCACCTCCGTCCTGCCTGTAGCGGAGGGGATAGAGGTTCAAGGCCGTCAGGCGCTGCTCGTATGTAGAATTTTTGAGTTCATGAACAGCCTTAGTAGCACGTCGCCGTACGCCCTCAAGAATATCTGTGTCCTTCCGAAGCAACGGCCGCCAAGCCTGTGTTGCATATTCTAGGTGTGGCCGCACAAATGCTTCATATACCTTGCCAAAGACATCTGCATTCAGCTAAGCAAATGTTCCTCGTATCGCGCTCATGATTGGCATTGCCCGCACTGCGACTCTAGAATACTGCGTGGTGACGCTTAGGTCGTCTTTTATGAATACTTCGGGATCTTTTTGCCCATCCACGATTTTGAGTGGCTGATTGTGTCCCGCGTCTTTTGAATTCGGTTTGAAATTTTCGACCTCCGAGGGATTTAACTTTTCCGAGTCTACTGAGTCCTGGACACCCTGACGGCCTCTCGGAATTAACAGTTCGGTTCTTCATAGCATTATCTCGATTCTCACAGAATTTCAACGGGAGTCTCGTTCGGAACACCTATCTCCTTTCGACCACACCAGGACTTGTGAGGGATAACCTATCTTCGTCCAGTCGCCTCTCTGCAACAGCACTGAGCAATCCCCAAAACCTACGAAAGGCTGAGTCGTTTACCTCATATCCTTTATCTGTTTGAAAATTCGTCTTATACCTTTAAGAAAACCGTTTGAAACTTGTGAACTCGATAATGTTGTTCAGAGAAATGCCCTCAAAACACGGTGTAAAATGCATGCCCAAGGCGGGATTTGAACCCGGTCCATCGGTCGGACAGACAACCGTCGTTACCACTAGGCCACTGACTTGCGCCGACGTCGTCAAAAATAATAATACATATTGTATTACGCATGATATTAATGACTGCAGTGTTGGACGTTCTGCTGTCAGACCAATGCCCGTAAAACGAGCAAAAAGTCTAGTGACGTTGGGGGATGTCACATACGACGATGAAATCTGTACTACATGTTTCGGACTCATCCATAAGTTTTCAAAAATGGAGGGGGAGTTAAAAGGTCTAAAAATGGAGGTAGAAAAGTTAAGGCAGCTTACTCACCACTTACGTGAAGAGAAGAAGCCGACGAATTCGGCAATTCAGAATCCGAAAAAAACATATGCAACCACGGCTTCCTTAGCCATATCAAACGCTGAAACCGACGAATGTTCGTCCAGGGAACTAGACACTGTTGAATGCCAGTCTCTTAGGCGAGAAAAAGACCAGCCAAAGCGAACGCAGATAACAAAGAAACATTCCAGAAAAACAACGCGCACCTCTGTACGGTCCAAAAAAACGAAGGCTGCCTACGTACACGCAGACCAGCGAAGGAGAATGACCAGGAGGCCTACGAATGACCGCCAGAGGCTCCCAAATTTGTTGAAAAATAAAGATATCGGAACACCTTGTGGACCGAATATTCAGGAGGAGGTTTCGAAAGAAACTGAGGTAAACTTTTTCGACTAACACCTCGGAAACACAGAAGGAATGGTTATCAACAGGAAGATAAATGAATCGTACACGGATCTCAGGTTCGCTAGCCCATCCGAAATCAGTGAAACTAGTAAACTGGAGATGAACGCTCGGTCACTCAAAAGATGTGTGACAACAACGAGCACTAGGTTCAGTCGCCAGCAAAATGTAGTTATAAAAGGAGTACCCGAATCAACGGCAGCAGTTCCAAAGGAGAGAGTTAGGCATGACTTAGACCTTCTTCAAGTGTATGCGAAAACTTTGTTAAGAGACGATGAGTCACTAAGTGTTCTCAAAGCATTCCGAATAGGGAAGAGTCAGTCAGCATCCGGTTCCAATTCCCGGCCTCGACCCCTTAAAGTCATTTTGGAGACTGAAGCACAGGCCCAGCTTCTGTTACAGAGAAAATCATCTCTATGGGGTCAGCATCCTGAAGTTTTTTTCAGCCGGATTACGAGCCAAAAGAGCGAATGAAAATGAGAGAGCTGATGACGGAGCTGGAAAAGCGGAGAAACAGCGGCGAAACACACCTACAAATCAAGAATGGACAAATAATTTAGGTTTAAAGGACATTTCTCTGGCCGAAGGCCGTCATTCTGACAGCCTAACCGATGCAAATGTGCCAACTCCTGAGGCTGCTCGAGCCAGTGGCCGCTGTCTAGAAATCTATTACACTAACTGTCAGAGTCTTCTCAACAAGCTAGATGAACTCAGATTACTAGTCTCTGAACAGAAGCCACACATAATTGTCCTAACAGAGACATGGTTGACTGAGGAAATTAGTAGTAGCGAAGTCAGAATTGAAGGCTACCAACAGTTCCGTTGTGACAGATTTCACCGTAGAGGTGGAGGCACAGCTATTTATGTGTCAAATGAAATTGCGTGCTGTCAAAGAGATGGTGCGTCCCTAAATTTTGAAATAATTTCATGCAAGATATGCATCAAACAATTATTGACATTGAACCCGTGCGTTGTCTATCGGCCTCCCAGCTCGAATGAAATCGCCGATATGGAATTACTTAGTGCGCTGGCGTTGATATGTAAGCGGGAGAACTTACTACTTCTCGGTGACTTCAACGCTCCAGGAATAGACTGGAACATTCCCCTAACAAACGCCCCGTCCACGTCATTTGACCACAAGTTACTACAACTCTCCCTGAATGAATACCTCATTCAGCACATAAAATTCGGAACAAGAATGAGAGAAGGACAACGATCTAACTGTTTAGATCTCGTTTTCAGTAAAGAAGAAGGACTCATAAAGGAAGTGAATCCACAACCTCGCTCGGTTTAAGCGATCATATTGCTTTTACCTGCGTGTGCTCTCTCCTATCCAACAAAAACCAAAAATCAAGACGCGCAGAAATATTTGGAAGGGTGACTTTAACGCAATGAGACGCACTCTTTTGGAGGAAACCTGGTTGATAAACACAGAAAATTCAGACGAATTTTGGCAGTACTTTCGCGGGATTTTAGAGTGTCTGATTGATGCCCATTGTCCAATAAAAATGACAAGACCATGTATGCGACCGCCGTGGGTCAATCCGACGACAAAAAAGACCATGAAGAAGAAACAGAGACTCTGGAAAATGTATTTGCAACTTCGAGATCCAAGATCAATCGCCGAATATAAGGATCAGCGCAATAAATGCCGCAAAGAAATACGGGTTACTAGAACTTCTTTCGAGCGTCGACTGATAGCAGAATCCATTACATGTCCCAAGAAGTTTTACGGGTACATCCGCAGTAGGAGGAAACACAGGGACGAAATTGCGTGTCTAAAGGATAGCCTCGGAAACATATTAGTTGAAGGGTCGCAGAAAGTGCGATTACTGTCTCAGTTTTTTCAATCGGTTTTTACGGAGGAGTCCCTAGAAGACAATCAGCAGTTTGACATGGACCGAGACAGCCGGGAGCTTCAAATGCGCCAAGATGTTGCCGTCATTTAAACCGTCGCCTTTTCCGTGGAAGAAGTCAGACGAGTCCTCAGTCAAATAAAACCTGATAAGTCTCCTGGACCCGACGGAATTCCCGGGCTGATACTTAAGGAGCTATCAAGGGAGTTGTCAAAGCCTCTTTTGACTCTCTTTGAGCTGTCAATGGGAACAGGAAGGCTGCCCTCACAGTGGAAGACAGCTAACCTCGTTCCATTGCATAAGGGAGGTAGCAGGATGACAGCAAACAGCTTTCGACCTATTAGCTTAACTTGCCTCCCTTGCAAAACGATGGAAGCTATAGTAAAGAACGGTATACAGCAATTTTGTGAGGAAAATAACATCTTGCAGGATTTTCAACATGGCTTCAGGAGAGGACGTTCCTGCCTCTCAAATCTGCTAGCTTGTCTGGAAATCTGGACCAGGGCTCTAGAAGAGGGTTTTGAGGTCGATGTCGTGTACATCGATTTCCGCAAAGCTTTTGACACTGTCCCACGCCAACGTCTTCTTCACAAGTTGAGCGACATCGGCATCCGGGGAGATCTTCTGAACTGGATTAGGGCGTTTCTGGTTGGTCGGAAACAACGTGTCTGTGTCGGGGATGATATGTCAGAAAGGGTGAATGTGACCAGTGGTGTGCCGCAAGACTCAGTTCTGGAACCATTGCTCTTCATCCTTTACGTTAACGACAACCTTCAGGAACTCGACTGCGGCAAACTAATGTTTGCAGACGACGTTAAGCTCTGGCAAGTCATTAAGGGTCCGAATGATCAGAGATCCCTTCAAGATAATCTGCACCGACTGCAAGCGTGGTCGAAGAAATGGCTTCTAGATTTCAATGTGGAGAAGTGTGCCGTCCTTCATCTGCGTCCAACCAACTCTCATTCAAATGAGAGTCTGAGGACTTATCACCTGAAATATATAAGGCTCCCCACAGAATCTTCACAGAAGGATCTCGGGGTTTGGATACAGAACAACCTGAAACCAACACTGCAGTGCCACAAGGCTGCAAAAAACGCCATGGGAGTGCTGCATGCAACAAAAAGGGCTTTTGTAAATTTTGACAAAGACCTTTTTGGGAGAGTTTACGGCACATTTGTTCGGCCCCACTTAGAATATGGCATACAAGCATGGCGGCCATGGCTGGTAAAGGACCAAGAATGCCTCGAAAGGGTACAGCGGCGTGCAATAAAGCTGGTAAACGGTCTCAAAAGCCATTCCTACACAGAAAGACTGAATTGCCTTAATTTGTTCCCTCTGTGTTACAGGCAGCAAAGAGGTGATCTTATCCTCGTCTACAAGATAATACATGGCCTTGAGTATGGACTTAAATTTGAGGACATGTTTCAGTGGCACCTTTCACCCAATCTTCGTGGTCACTCGATGAAGTTACGGACAACTATGTCCAGGCTGAATCTTCGTTCTGAATTTTTCACGCAGAGGGTAGTGGAGAAATGGAACGATCTCCCTCAGTCAGTCGTGGAGGATACGTCTCTGCAACTCTTCAAGAAACGCTTGGATGATTCTTTGTGTCCCCTGTTTTCCCTCGACGGTCTGAATCTGAACTAATACCCCTGGTCCCCACAAATATTTTCTCTGAGACAATGCTACTCAAATGAACCAAGTACTGTTTTAATAGTGAACATTTTTTGTTCGTATACAGTTATTTCTAACGGGCTGACATGTAATCAATAGGGTTTTCAAAGGCTTTGCCTATTATCCTTACCAAATAAACTGAAATAAACTGAGATGCCGTCGTGAGGGTGCATCTGTTCTTCGCCTTGTTGATACTATTTGCATAACCACACATTTTTGACGTTGAACTTCGTGCACCATTTTCCGCTGCATGTATGCAAGTTCTCTACGTCCTCTTACAGCATCTTGACGTCATCTTCATCTTTTATCGCTCTCCAAAGTTTAAGATCGTCTGCAAAAAGCGCTATGTCGAGTTTCACTTCACGTACTAGATCATTTACATATATAACGAATGAGAGTTTCTCAAGAACTGACCCTTGTGGGGCTGCACTATTAGCCGGTGCCCATTCTGAGAAGTAGCCATCCGCAGTGAATTTTGTCTACGACCATTTAAGAAATCTTGAATCCAGCTTAGGAAATTTCCCCTTATCCCTATGCCTCGCAGTTTTTGAACGAGGCGCTTATGTGGAACGCAATCAAACGCCTTGCTGAAGTCAAAGTAAATGACATCTACTGGATGTCCTTCATCCATGGCCGTTGACCAGTATTCCAGCGACGCCAACAGGTTTGTGAGGCAGGACCTCTTTTCACAGAAGCCATGTTGAACTGAACTGATGTGGCAGCGGAATGTATCGAGCGATTTAACTGATTTTTTAACTCTCTTTTCCACCCGTTTGCATTTAATGCACGTCAGAATCACCGGCCTGTAGTTGATGAGATATTGCCACGATCCTCCTTTGTGAATTGGTACGACGTTTCCCAACTTCCATGTGTCAGGAAGCTTGCTAGCTTCCAGCGATTTTTGGAAGATTATACAGAGTGGCTCTGCTACTTCTTAAACTAGTTGACGTAGGAGTACACCTGAGATCTCATCTTGTCCAGCTGACTTGGCCAGATCCAGCTTATTTAACTCCGCTAAAACTAGATGCAGTGTATATAATACTGTGCTTATAAGCGGCTGGTTGGCGAGCTGCGACAGAGAACAGGACTGGAGGGGTGGTTCCGTGGTAAAGACACTTTAGAAGAATTCCGAATATAGCTCGGCTTTTCAAAAGGCGTCGTTCACAATTTGGTCATTTTTGTCCCTTAAGGTAGCACGATGGTCCCGGTTATTCGTATTTCTCCCGTTGTATGCATAGAGTGCTTTAGGTTATTGCTGTGCCTCTTCCAGGAACTTCAGTTTATAAGAAGCACGTACTTTACAGATTAATCTTTTGCATAAGTTTCGTTGTCGTCTAAATTCTTGAGGTTTTTCTGGGCTCTCCGTGTATATGAGGATTCCCCACAACCGACGTTTTTTCGGAATCCAGTTCAGTTCAGTTCAGTTTATTGAGGGAAATAGGCGTAAGCCTTTGAGTACCCTACTTGCAACGTAAAAAATGTGTGGTATACAGACAAATGTTCTGGGCTGAAATAGTTCAAACACGCCCATAGTGATAGGACAAAACGAGAACGAGTTACAGGGGGTGAGCTCTACTTCTCATCGCTCTTGGTCATTTCGGAACATAAATATGTCCAAATTCTTTTTAAAACTTTGTACAGATGGTGACATCACAACATCTGCGGGAAGGGCATTCCATGGTTTGACCACTCGAACAGAGAAGGAGAACTTCTGCGCACCCAGCAGGCAAGACTGGGTGCGCAGTTTGAACGAGTGACCTCGTAGGTTGGTAGTGGTAGCAAATTCAAAAAAGTCCTCGAAGGGCAGGTTGCAATCCAACCCCTTTACAATGCGGAAGGCTTGCAAGAGATCCCCGCGAAGTTGCCTGTAACTCAAAGGAAGGAGGTTCAGATTTACTAGGCGGGTTGCATAAGGAAAGGAGCTTTGACCCCTAACCATCTTCGTGGCTCTCCTCTGTACTCTTTCGAGGCAGTTTTGGTCCTCAACCGCCCACGGCCTCTAGGCTTGTATGCCGTACTCTAAATGTGGCCGAACGAATGTTCCGAATGTCTCTGAGAAAGCATCTTCGTCAAAGTCCATAAACGCACGCTTGATGGCGTACAATACAGACATTGCGTTTTTTTCGACCCTCGAACAATGGGCGGATGGCTTTAGGGAACTTGTCGTCAGCACACTGAGGTCCTTTTGGGCTTCGACCTTTTTTAAGGCTGCACCGCCAAGAAAGTAGTCTCTTGTGCTGGCCGATCTGGCTGTGTTACCTAGGCGAAGTATGCTACATTTGGCAACGTTGAAGCGCAGGAGCCAACGGTTTGACCACTCCTCCAACCGATTCAGGTTCATCTGTAGTCTGTCTTCGTCGGCAGGACCACGAATTACGCTCCATATCTTCATGTCATCAGCAAACATTTCTACTTCGCAGTCTAGATCTCTTGCAGCATTGTCCACGTATAGAAGGAACAAAATGGGTCCCAGCACTGAACCCTGGTGGACACCACTCTCGACCATAGCAGGATCTGATTTTCCCCGACCGATGCACACAACCTGGTGTCGACCCAAAAGGAATTTTTCAATCCATTTAAGGAAGTTGCCAACGATCCCTATTTTGTTAAGTTTATGTAAGAGCCTCTGGTGTGGCACAGTGTCGAACGCCTTCTGTAAGTCGATGAAGGCTATGTAGACTGCGTGCCTGTCGTCGATAGCTCGGGTCCAGCTCTGGAGAGATTGCAGCAAGTTTGTCGTGCAGGACCTTCCTTTCCGGAACCCATGGTGGCAGTTCGATAGCAGGCCATTAACTTCCAGAAATTGCATCAGTTCGTTCTTTATGATCCTTTCCATAACTTTGCAGAGAATGCACGTCAAGCTTATGGGCCTGTAATTTGTCGTCGCTGCCCTGTTACCTCCTTTGTGTAGCGGAGTAATATGCGCCAGCTTCCAATCGATAGGAAGTGTTCCAGTGCCAAATGACGTTTGAAAGAGCATCGATAAAGGCACAGAAAGCTCACTGGCAAGTTCATTGAGAAGCTTGGGTGGAATCTCGTCTGGTCCTGGCGACTTCGATTCGTGCAATGCCTCTAATTCTCTTCGGACAATGCCTTCTGAGAAGAGTATGTCATTGCCGCTTGGAGTCGGCAGTTCTTCTGTGGAGGGAGGAAGGAACCTTGCCTCGTTTGTGTAGACTGATTGGAAAAACCGTGAAAAATACGCAACTTTATCCCTACTATCAACAATCTCAACGCCATCAGTAGTCCTTATTAAGGGAATTCGATGTCTGTTCCTTGTACTTCGTCGGAGGTAACTGTAGAGTAATTTTGGGTTCTGCGTTGCTTTTTGTAGCAAGTTCTTCTCGAATTCCCGCCGCGTCTTCATGATCAGGTTCCTCAGTTTGTTCCTCTGTGTCTTGTAGGTGTTGAAATATTCAACTTGCCCAGTGACGCAGTATTTTCTCCACAATTTGTGCTTCCTGTTGATTTCTTTCTTAATGTTCCTATTTAGCCACTCAGAGCGTTTGTTTAGTCTTACACTAGTCAGTGGGCAGTGGTTGTTGATGAGCTGCAGGAGGATATTCTTGAACAGCTCCCAATCATCGTTGGCATTTTCCCTGGACAGTGAGCACCAGTCGAGACCGGATAAGTTTGCCCTCATCTGATTGAAGTCGCCCCGCCAGACATTACGTCTTTTGTGGTCAGGAGTATGTGAAATGGAGAATAACGAATAATCCCACATAAGCATTACGTGATCACTTCGGCCAAAGGGCGGCATGGAGGTGATGTCGTCTATGCTGTCTGGTGTTTTCGTAAAAACCAGATCCAGGCAGTTTGCCCTTTGTCCTTCACGTGTTCTCGTTGGGAACATTACATGTTGTGTGAGGGACGCCTTTAATGTTTTGTTCAGCAGACGGTAATCGAATGCCCATTTTGGACCTGACGCTTGGAGGGTATTCCAGTTTGTTCCAGGTGCGTTGAAGTCGCCCATGATCATAATGTTAGGTCGACTGGACAATTTTTCTAGCTGCTCCAATAGTTGAGTGTCGGCAATTTGGTCTGTCCGAGGTGGTCGGTAGACAGTGAGGACACCGAGACACGGGGAACCGGTAGCCTTGGTGGTCAACCAAATAGCTTCCGTGCCGCACGCAAACTTGGTGGTGTTTTCCGACACTGCCAGGCCCTCATTCACATACACAACTATACCACCACCCTGACGATGTTCCCTGTCCCTTCGATAAATTTGGTATCCAGGCAAGGCTACTTGGCTATCGCTAATATTCCCGGACAGCCAAGTCTCGGTTATTGCTAAAACGTCTGGAGACAGGTCGACAAGGCAAAGTTTTAACTCGTCTATTTTCGATATGAGGCTTTGGACATTCGTGTACAAGCGCCTCAGTTTTGCACCAGCCGAATTTCCCGTTGTATTTGTAACTGTTGTGAGCATTACTCCGTTATCTCGGACGCCATGTTCTCTGGGCTCTTCCATTACCTGATGGGTTCCATTTATGTCAGTTGTTTCAGTCAGAACATTGGACGTTACGGTCTCACTTGTGTTTCTCATCCGAGGTCGTCAACCATTTTGGCTTGTTTTCAGTCAGATGTTTCTTAAGAGGACAGTATCGTTCAATCAAGACACGCATAGTTTATTCGAAGGTTGTCCAGTATTCGTTAACATCTCGTAATGCTTTAATCTATGTTATGTATCCAATCCCCGGTTTCATTGCCTCAAAGTTACCCCGCCAGAAGTTTCCTTACAACTTTGAGCTTCGTTCAGGGACAGCTACGAGCGTCGATTCCCACATAAATGTCATGTGAACACAAGAACCTAAGGGCGGACCTTCATTTATTTCATCAACACTTTCCTCGTACTTGATTAACAGTTGATTTAGGTAACTAACTCTCTGATGATCACGCATCCAGGTCACAGTTCGTAAATGTTGAAACAGAAATTCATCAATTGCCATGTCTAATAGCATTCGGTCGAATCC